TGCCCATGGTGGAATAGTCACCTGTCACGACTTAGATCCGAGGTTCGCTATCTCTTTAACAGAGCCAAACGGGACGGAGAATGGCAGGGCTACACCGAAAGGCTGACTGAGTACAACAGAGAATTAAGGAAGGCCAAATGGAAAAACTTCCAGAACTTCTGTGAATCTATCACAGAAACACCATCAGCAGCCAGACTATACAAAACCCTGGCAAAAGGCAGGGCGCAAGGACCATTGACACTTAAGAAACCAGACGGCAGTTATACAGAAAATGAAGAGCAACGAGCTGCTCTACTACTGGAAACCCATTTTCCAGAAAGTATGCCCAATAATACTGAAGAAAACAAAGAACGGCCCAGAAAAACCAGGCAAGAAAACTGGGAGGTTGCCAAGAACCTTTGCACTCCGCAGCGGCTGGCTTGGGCGATCGACTCATTTCAATCGTTTAAGTCACCTGGAGTAGACGGCATTTTTCTAGCCCTGTTGCAAAAAGGGCAAAATGAAATTATGCCGTATCTAATCAAACTCATTAGATACAGCCTAGCGACCGGATACATACCCAGTCAATGGAGAACAGCTAAAGTAACTTTCATCCCAAAGGCCGGAAGAAAGGATGCCACTCTACCGAAGTCGTTCATACCTATATGTCTCACGTCGTTATTACTGAAGACAGTTGAGAAAGTTGTAAATAACTATATCAGAACAAATGTTCTAGAAAAGACGCCACTACATCCTAGGCAACATAGAGCGGGCAGATCAACACAAACCGCTCTATTTGAACTCACTGACAGCATCCAAAACACAATGCTGAATAAAGAAGTAGCCATCTGCGCCTTCTTAGACATAGAGGGGGCTTTCGATAACACTCTCATGAGTCAATAAGGAATGCGCTTGTCAGAAAAGGAGTGGACAAAACCACATCCACCTGGATGTGTGAAACGTTAGCCACCAGAACTGCAGAAACGGATGTGGGGGAACAAACCATATAAGTCACCACAACGAGAGGATGTCCACAGGGAGGGGTACTCTCACCCTTGATGTGGAGTCTAGTAGTCGATGATCTACTAAATACACTGACTGACAGACCAGGGCTTCAACTGCCTTGGTTACGCCGATGATATTGTCAGCATAGCCAGAGGCAAACACGAAGGAATACTCTGTGACCTTATAGAAAAAACACTCCGAACCACGAAGGAATGGTGTCAGACTGTGGGACTGAATCTTAACTCATCAAAAACCACACTGGTAACATTTACAAAAAGAACGAAACTCCCATACCTGATAAACATTCGCCTCGATGGGAGCAGGCTTCACTGGAAACAAGAAGATAAATTCCTAGGAATAACCCTAGACTCTAAACTCCTTTGGGACCGACACATAGAGAACATAACAAACAAAGCAATTTCGGCACTCATGGTATGTAGAAACATCGCGGGCAAAACGTGGGGTTGTAACCCATCGATCCTACGATGGATGTATACCATGATAGTGAGACCTATCATCACCTACGGAGCGGTATCCTGGTACAGCCGAACCCAGCTAGTAACGGCTAGGTACAAAGACTCGCATGTCTATGCATAACAGGAGCAATGAGAACATGCCCAACAGCGGCAATGGAAGTCATCCTAGACCTAACACCACTTCACACAATAGTGAAGCGGGGGTTGCCAGTGAATCATATTTAAGACTGGCGAAGATAAGTCTACAGGTAAAACGCACTTTGGCAGAGCTTTCCCTCTCCCAAACTGTGCACACCTCATGGACTTACCAAAAGACGCGATTGTTGATAAATTCAGTTTCGAGAAAAACTTTTCCATCGAACTAAGTACAAAGAACAGATGGAACATAGAATGTATCCAGTCCCTTAAAGCAAACACCATCAAATGGTTCACAGACGGCTCCAAAACTGCTGAGGGGACAGGAGCCGGAGTATTCGGGCCACGAACCAGATACTCGGAGCCAATGGGAAAATCATCAAGCATATTCCAAGCCGAACTTCATGCGATCGGAAAATGCGTGCAGTTCAACCAAGCAGCTATCAAAGCATTGAGCTCGCCGGTAATCAGTTCTAAGATAGTATGGGAATGTCTACAGAAACTCAATAAGCTGGGGAAGGAAAACAAAGTAACCCTACTCTGGGTTCCTGGACACATAGGAGTCGAGGGCAATGAATGCGCAGACGAACTTGCAAAAACGGGAGCGGCCACTCCCTTCACTGGGCCAGAACCATTCTGCGGCGTCGGAAAGGCGCACCTCCAAGAAATCCTCAAAAAGGAAGAGAACCGGCTAAGGAACAAACAATGGCTGGACCAACCAGGACTACGACAGGCCAAAGATCTACTGGGTAGCTACAACCAAAAAAGATCTGAACTGCTGGTCAACCTTAGCAAGAAAAGTCTCAAAACTCTAACCGGGTTTCTCTCGGGACATTGCAGACTGAATAAGCACCTACATAATCTGGGGTTGGACGAAGGTAACACTTGCAGATTCTGTGAATATGGTGAAGAAACAGCTCACCATCTTCTACTGAACTGCGATGCCGTAAGCCGCTCAAGAATGAAGAACTTGGGAAGTCCCCTTATACAGCTGGAAGACATTCCAGCCCTGGAACCGCTAGACATCCTTAAATTCCTAAAGGACCTAGGACTAGAGGGGCTGCTTTAAGCAGGAAACCTGAACTTAGCAGCAGAAGGAGGGGTACAATAGATCAACCTTGGTCGCAGTGCAACTGACACCACCAACACATACATACATACATATACAGGTAGGGGGAACTAGAACCACCATATTTTGATTATGGAGTGAGGGAACCTTTAGGCCCTATGCACCTCAACCTCAAAATTTTGAATGGCACCACCTCTTTTCTGATACCTAAAATTAAATATTTTTGAATATATATAGATTCACTTGCACAAGAATTTTTTCAAAAAATATGGAACCTCAGGTATCACAAAAGGGGTGTCATTTGAAATATTGGGGTTGGGGTGCATCGGGTCCAAGGGGTCATTATAACCAACATATGGTAGTTCTAGTTCCCCTTATCCGTATGACATTTGTACCCAATTACGGTTTTCCAACTTTTTTACTTTCAGAGATATTCGCATTGAAAGTTTTCAAATTCACCCTGTATAGTATGTAGCGACAGTCAGGCAGCACTTCTAGCCCTTTGCTCAAACAAGGCTAAGACAAGGCTCACGCTTGACTGTATTACAACTCTAGAACTACTCAATAGGCTCAACAAGGTCCCATTTGTTTCAGTCCCGAGTCACAAGGGCATAAAAAGTAAATAAGAGACGGACCAGCTGGCGCGTGAAGGTAGCAACACTCCCTGTATTGGGCTACAGCCTGCACTTGGGGTTATTTCCTGTCTGGTGAAACCCAAGATCAGGAACTGGTTCAACAATACAAGACGAATGACAAAAGAGACCTCAGACAGTTGAGGATCTTTATACAAGGTCCCTCAAACTGCGAAAAGGCCAAAAGCCTCAAGCCTCCTCAAACTAGACAGGGGCCAGCTAAGAGCCAGCACAGGCAACCTAACAGGGCACTGGGTAATCAGATACCACCTGCACAAAATCGGACTGAGACGGAATGCAGGTTCTGCAGCGAAGTAGATGAAACTCCCAAGCATATAGTCTGCGAATGTGACACCCTCGTCAGTCGCAGATAGGTACCGGGTACAGGTTTCTGCAGACCCTCACTGCACCTTTCTTAAAAGTGGCGGTCTTTTAAGGTAAACAGGGCTGCACCAAGACGGGTATAGCAAAATGGGCCACGAACTGCCTGTAAAGGCTCCCATTTCTAATCAATCAAATATCTCTGAAATAGAAAGTTCAAGAATAAGAAGAAGTAGACAAACAACTAAAAGGACAGATGACTTAAAAATAAACAAGAAGAGCAGGATCGGCTCCAGAAAGTTTTGCATAAACAAGCAGACAAACGACGACTTAAACCGCAAACGACTGCAAAAAAAAGAGGAAGTAGTACAAAGGCAGAAAGATATTGACAGAATTGTACCAGAATATTAGACAAGAACTCGAAACTATGAAAGAGAAAGTTCAAGAACAGAAACGGTTAAAAGCTCGAATGCTTCTGAAATTACAAATTATGAATGCTTAAAACAGCTTTTTCAGTTTTTAATAACGTGATCTCGAGCACAAATTGGTATCTGAAGCGAACTACCGCTAAAACTAAATAAAAACCTCCTTTTGTTAACGCCTTTATGAATACGAAATTATGTAAAATTCTCTAAAATTTCAATAAACCATCCAAATTGCGCGCCGGCGTTAAAACTTTAAAGCGCTATTAATTATCGCGCTTAAATTCTTGTAGAGATATTAAAACAGCAAAAACGAGAAATTTTCCTCTCTAGTAGCACATGTTTCCCTAATTAATTCGAAATTCATTGGCGCAACCAAACAATGTAGAACAGTTTCAAAAAAATATTTCAAGAAACTTCCCAATGGCGTAAGATAAATTATTGCCCTGAGAAAACACAATTTCCATTATTTAATTGCTCAGAAGTAATTGTTACGGTGCTTGTTTAGGACGCCCATGGTTAAAAATGTCGAGTAAAGTAAACCTTAGAAATGGGGCTGGAGGCGCAAAAATGCTCATCGTGGCAATTAATTTTCCTTAATTATACAAAATTGCGGAACTGCGTTTTCATGTTTTAGCACACAAACGTGAAAATTGTTAATGGCTAGTAATATTTATAAAAGAAGAAGAAAATGCAACGAACCGAAACATATTTTTACATATAGATACTTATTTTGATCTAAAATATTGCATGCTATCTGCTTTTAATTGCCGACATTAATTTTTAACCCGCAATTTAAAATCCTCGATTTTATAAAGAAATCAATAAATCTTATAGCGCAATTTACTGTCCAATCAGTCTTTACGCCTTTGCATTTCAATCTTCCTTTTATGCCAATTAATCGTCTAATCGTTTTATTCTGTGAAAACTTGAATTTATCGTTGCAATAAAAACTAATTACCAACCTTGTTGATTTTAGGGCTGGTCATAGCCGGATCGGATCTGATGACTTCGTATTTGGAATTATTATTAACCAAACCGACGAGAAATTCGAAGCTTCTTTTTTTACGTAGGTGCGACTTGAAATCGCGATTGTTCATGGCTTCGTGCGAATCGGCCGGTCCGGGATCTTCCGTGAGCATCTGCAAAAGAAAATTGAAAACTATATTAAATTGCAATTTGGAACTCGTGTTCGTGTTAGCGCTTTTCCCGAAAACGAGCAACTTCCTGGCACACTGGAAAATTGAAATCAAGTCTCAATATATAAAAGCGCACCGTACCATTTCGACTATTTGACTTTAAATCTTTTCTTTGCGGGCGACAAGAATTCGGTTCGGGTATTGGCAAAGTCGTAACCGTAAATATGCAAATCCTAAAGCTGAAACGATAGATATTTTATTTGAGAATTGGTTGTGATGGGCGATGAAAATACCGCCGAACTTTTACGACGACGATTTAAAACATTTTAATGGGAAACTTTGCGGGTGACTTTAATTACAATTCTTGCTGCAAAGTGTATTATAGATTCTCTAAGCACCTATTAGAAACAGAAATCACTTTCCTATCTTTCAGAATCAGCTAATCCGTTACACAAACGAAGACAAATTGTGTTCATTTGAGCTTCACGATGCCTTTGTTGGATACCTATCGAGCCTCTATTATTCCTTAATTATCCGTCTGTCCTCTACATGCCTTACAAAAGAACTTCTATCCTAACAACTGGGTCCTGATTGTGTTCTTTGTCGCCTTTTGAGTCCAACTTTGGACGACTTTTCTTGTGAATCTCGTTTTAATTTAAGTGAGAGGAATCTAAGTTTCGCGAAGACTAATTAGGAGAATTTGCCTGCTGTCGATTTTCCGTTTTGTGAACGATTTGCTTACACTCCACCTTTTTATCCAACGCTGAGTCAATAGTCATTGCGCTACGTAGGTATTTGAATTTTTTTAAATATTTTTCAATTCTTGTCCCTCATCCGTCTTTAAAATTACGCTAAATTATTCAGTTGCAAAATACATTCAATATTTCATGCTACAACGTCACTTGAACGGTTTTTCCTATTGTTTTGACTATTGCCTTTAAAATAAGCAGTTAAGGAAGCCTCAAGAATCAATACCTGGAAAGATTCGGAAGAATTAATTAGAAAAAAGCCTCCGATGCTGCGCAAAAACAACTTACCCAAAAAAACTAGACAAACAAGAAAGATAGCCTCAAAATAACTCGATTAACAGAAATACCTCCATGAATCAGAATTAGAAGCTTTCGAATTTGATTGAATGATAAAGAAGAGCTTCAAGAATCATTATCTGAAGCTTCAGAGTAGTCAATCTAAGAAGATGAGCCTTGATTATTCATTTCAGAAAGGTTCATAAAAATAACTAACTTTGAGAAAAAAAAAGAGCTTTAAATCATTATTTATCAAAACCTTGAAAAGAACCAATTTGAAAAAATCCTCAAGAGCCATCAAAATTCCATAAAAAGCAACTATAGATAAAAAAGGAGAGCCTTAAGAAGTGCCTGAGACTTTAAAAGAACCAGATTGTGAAAGAAGAGCCTCAAGAATCAATGTTAATAGTTTTAGAAAAAGCAATTTGCCCATTACCTTTCCTGAGGAAAGAGCTTCACAAATCATTACCAAATTACGTTAAAATTTTGCCTTAGAACGTAAATGAGATTTCGAATGAATTCGGTAATTAATTCAGGTATTTGTGAGGATATTTATGAAGCTTTATACCTGAGGATCAATATTTGTCAGTGATTTTCCCATTGGATTTTACTAGATTTCTACCTTTTTGTTTGGATTCGAAACAATATCTAGTTGTTGAACAGGGATATATTTTTCGAGGTAATAATGAGTAAATTCTTTGTATTCAGATGACAGGGTAGTTTTAGGATAATAAAGCCCTACTAATAGGATCGAAATCTATTTTATTTGGCTTTCGAAAGTCGTCTAAAAGGCCCTAAATGTCGATGAAAAGGTTTGTTTACTTCTAAATAAATATCGATTGGCAACACTTACGAGTCACATATTTTCCATTATTAAAAATTCTACAACATCACACATCACTTTCACAGCCTTTAAATCGCTTTTCCACCCTTATTTCCTCTATTTTCTACATTTTCCGGTTGTTTATTTTCCGCAGAATAAGTGTGGTTAAGTGACACTTGTTGTTTCGTTTCAAGCAGCGCTGTTGCCGACGTTTCTTGACCACTGTGAGTAATAGAGTCACTGTAGTTGTAACCACGTAACGACTGGTCATTTTGATAGTTTTGTACTATAGACTGGATAGATGTTGGTTAATAATAGTAATTAATTAATGTTAATTGGTGTTAGGGGAGAAAATTGGATAACAACTTTGGGCTTCGTTTGTCATCAATGTCATTTGGGTTGTTCCGTTTTCCTGGTCAAGACCGGAAATCTGGCACCAGAGGGCATCTAGGAAAAAAATGGAATTCTAGAAAATTTTTCATGTTGAGCTCACCTAATAAATCGCTGAAAATAAGGTCGTTCTTTTAAATTCGCACGTTGAGCAAGCAACAAGTTCTTTGGCAGATTTTACCAGCGGTCCTCTTGCCTACGTTCCTTGGAGCATCCACCTATTGTGGGATTTTGGAGGCGTCGGGAACTCAAGTGGTTGCTGGCTTAAATTGGTTTTGAGGTGAAAACTTTGGATTTGGTCGTAAGTCCCGTATTTGTAAGCCAACCACTCAGAATTTTCTGTAAATATTTGGGATTCTATAAAAAAAGGGCAATTTGACCTCCACGAGGGCCATTTGTCAGTAAAAAACTTATTAGTCGTTTCCAAAAGGGGCATTATTGGGCTAATTAATTAAAGGGAATTGTTTCAAAAGGAAACTTACGTGTTTCAGAGGATTTTCCTATATTAATTTTATAATGGATGTATTAATATGTATTATAAGTATAAAGGGGTGCAAGTTCTAAGAATTTGTCCTCTTTCAGGGTTTTTTAGGCTTTACATTTTACCTCACCATTGGGTTCTTCCTTTTTGACGGTTTGCTAGTCTCCAAGTTAAGGTGTCAGAGTACTCAAAATACTGAACTTGAAATCGAAACATACCATTTTTAAGAAGGGAAGTCAATAGAAGTTGATGGGGTCTGTTATCAGGGCTGTGAGGCTGTCAGCAGACAGTAATATATATGGATGTTTTAGACTGCAGACAGGACCACAAGGGGGTGATGTACCAGTTCATTTATTAACGTTTCTTAATATTTTTTTTTTTTTTAGAAATTATTATTAATATGTAGTATTTTTATATTTAACTTGATACATTTCCACGTTCTTTTACTGCCTTAATTATTACAATGCGTGTACTGCACCAATGATTTTTTATTGACTATAGGTTCGTTCCAACCCCCCGTTTTCGTATCGTCATGAAACGGTTTCGGAACTGTTAGGATCGATTGAAGGCGCATGCGTTGACCTTGCACGGTTTTATCTTGGTACAGAAACAACGGGTAGCTGGAACGGTTTCATGATCGTTTTCGTAATGACGACAGTTCAAATAACTTTAACCCTAAATTTGTTTGTTCGCAAATTAAAATAGAAGAATATAGGATTAGGATTACAAAATAATATATAAAAAAGGAAAATCGAACACCAACGCTGATTCATTATCAAGAATCTGAAGCTGAATCCTTGCAAGCTGATAACATCAAGGATTAGCAAATAGCTGATAATAAATTTTGTACTTTTTTTCACTTGAAAAAAATAAAAATGCTACAGTTTTATAAGTTAGATTGGAAATTGGTTGTTTAACAACAACATGAACAACAACAGGTGACAAACATTGAATTACGCATCTCAGTCATGGATCAGTCCACGCGGTTCTTGCTTTCCACTCGGGATCGAAATGACGGTGCTAAAACCAGTTCTCGAACGATCCCAGGTTTGGTTGGAACGCCAACGAAACTGTACGGTAAACGATCATCTCTCGGTTGGAACGCGTTTAACCTATGGCGCATGACCGTGACCGTACATTGAACGGTTTTTGGCTGGGTTGGAACGAACCTTATATTTAAGGTGACATTTTCGTACAAACCCGCCCGGGTGTACCATGGTATAAGCGTGCACAGGTTTTAATTATTATTATTATTAATCTTTCATTCCTTAATTGTTTCTCTTTAACATTCATTGGAGTAAGGTGGTCAAACGTTTTATTGGTAAATCTTGAATTTATTATGAACTTCAATAATTATCACCATAAGACTTCAGAATAATAAATTTAAGAAGTTACGAGCTTCACGTATAAGTTACAGAAGTTTTATAGAAGCAACTAACTCGGAGCAACTGAATAGAGACGAGCCTTAAATCATTCGAACAATTTGAAAATGGAAAACTTCATAAAAAGCAACTAACTTTTAACATTATCATCCACATAATTTGGACATAATCTATAGTAAACGTAGTAACCCATAAAATGTAACTCTTACATGGAAAGTTAATACACTCATAAGTAATGATGAATTTTTCTCTACAAAATTGTCGTTTATGTATTATTCAAATAAATTTGAAACCAATACCGCTGACGTGTTAGAAACAGCCCGACTCTGTGGTTAGTATTCACATATGGAATTTCCGACAAACTCTAAGCTCCATGCATACAAATTAAGGTACGCCTTAAGTGCAGGAATTACCGAATCGCTCCAAAATAGAATAATTTGGCCGAATAATAAGTGAAATTACAAAAGTTGGTTTAAATAAAACTCCCAACAATTTTCAAATCCCGAATAGTTCAAACAAATTTCGTTTCAACTCCCAACGCGCCTCATCAGTAATCGAATTACTGGGTTTGCTTGTATTAAACAAATTGCTTTGAGAGTTTTCCTGATTTAAATTGGAAATTTTATTGCTGTAAAGTTAACAATATTTCTTTTCTACCTTGTAACACATTTTGAACGTGCTTTGGAGAGGACACTAAAATAAATGTGCGTTTGCTGACAATGCTAGGATTTAGATGTCAGCTTTTATAGTTTTAGAGTGATAAGAAATCTCGCATTGAAAACTTTATGGGTTCTGTTAAATTACAAAGAAAAGAGTGCACAATGAGCCTTATCTGCATTTCGAAAATAATCGAGTAAAATCCTATCATTAAACTAAAATTATATAATTAAATAACTTACCTC